CAGCAGGAAGACCGTTTTAGGTGAGAGCAAAATGGGATTTGGGATCTTCTCACACAAAAGCTGCTACTAAAAATACATCCAAGTCAGAGATTGAAACTTCTTGTCAAAATATAGTATTTAGTAACTCATTAATTCTTTTACTATCCTTGTTCTTTGGCACTTAGCAAGTTACAGCAATACACAAGTGACTGACAAATCAGCTTGGTTCATGTAAGTTATTTAGCTAGTGTCAACAGCAGCAAAAATACTAATTTTCTTCCTTAAATTTCTGTGTAAGGAATGTGAATGCAGCTCTACTCAATAACTTCAACTATCACAGGTTTCTCTTGGGTTTGGTAGGTGTACTTGAATGTCAAAGTAGCTGAGTGTGACTAGGGTGACAACCCTCTCTTGCTCTAGCAAAGAGCTAGAGAGAGTCAGATACATTCTCTTTCTTCACATAGGTGGGAAAAAAAATACAAAGTTAATTTTCTCCCTTTCATCTTGCTATAACAGGAAGAGATTACTATGCCTTTGAACCTGGGGTGAGTGGAATCTTTATCTGTACAGAACATCTGTCCATTCAGGCTACATTTTCTTAGGGCTTTAAAGAACTTTGAATGGAGTGCAACAGCATTTTGAGTCCATCTTTGTTCCTTGGCTTTCTTTAAAATCGACTATTTTCCATTTGAAATAAAATATCCAGTGAAGTTGCCACCTCATCACTTCTGAAATTCTTACTATATTTTTCATCATGGGCCCAGCTACCTGGCATCTTCCTAGGCAGGTGTTTTAATTCCTTCAAATTTCTATTTTCTCAGATCCTTTCTTGGTCTTGATGTACAGTGTTTTTCAAAGTTTGCCTGCATTATGCCTCTGCTGGAGATGCTGTCTTTTGATCCTCCTTGAGAGGAACTTTTATCACAGGAGAAGTGAAACTTGGCATGACCTCACCTTACTGGAGTGAATGACTTTTGTGAAGCTTTTCAGAAAGAGCATTTGGCTTTTAGCATCTTCCTTAGGCTTTTTGATCTGCCAGATCAGTAATGCTAGATTAAAAAGATTTTGACTGTTGAAAAACAAAACCGAAGTTTTTTATGATTATTTTTGTGATTCTCTGAAGGACTTGTGTATTCCTGGGTAAGTGGTACTTTGCTGAAGAATTTTCCAAGAATATTGCTTCAGTTCAGGTTCCAGCAAAGTCTCTTAAGTTGTTCAAATTATGGGAAGTGAAAAGGAAAAAAAATTTTTGTATCTGCGAAGGACATGTGAAACCAATTTATGAAGTATTTAAATAATTGTCTTGGCTTTGTAGGAAGAAGATGAAGAGTTTTACCAGGAAAATCCCAAGTCTGCTTTCTGAGTTTTTGTAGATTTTTGAGAACAGTTATCAACTTAGGAAAAAAGGAATAAAAAAATTTCAAGTAATTGCTTACCTAAGGAACAGTTCTTATACCTGGTACTAAAACAGATGCCCTTTCATTGTCCAAAAAAATGTAGAATTCTTGGTTGGCTGTCTTTAAAATGGAAGTAACACTTGTTTCACTTGTTTCGATTGCAAACTCCTCAAGATCATATACTGTCTCTTATTATTGTAACTATCCCTGTTTCATTTAGGGCCTCTATGAACAACTTCTAAGACTAGTGAGCAAATTTGAGAGTTGTGTTTATTTAGTCTCATTACCCTATTCTTTTAGAACAAGTTAGTATATGTCTGGGTTTTTTAATTAGCCGACTGCTTTTGGGGGTGGTTTGGGGGTTTTTTTGTTTGTTTTGACATCAAGAAACTAGTTCAGAAAATCTCAAAACACACAACTATGCTGTATCATTGTTTACAGCATACAACCTTTGGGCATTCATAGGGGAGGATTTGTCTGTAGAATCCCAGCCAAAGACGATTCCTCTTTTAAGAGCATGATAGAATTACTGCCAAGTTGGGTAAACTCTTGAGAGGCTGTAAGTAACAAAGTCTTCCTACTAGGAACCTATCTTCACTCTCTGTTAGTGAAAGACCAGTTTGGTAGGTCCTGTCCTCGGCCAACACCTCAGTAAAGCCAAAATACTTTTTGTCATGAAACATTGATTGTTTCCATCAAACAATACATCTGAAAACCAGATGCTTTCTTCCTAGGTATGACATCTCTCCCTAGCCATTTGGTGGTGTAAGTGGAGTAGGCTCTGATACTTTTCCACTTATGTAACATTAAAACGCATCCATTTTCTTTTGTCAAAGAAGCAACTAGGAGGGAAAAACCATGCTGTGCTTTAAAAAAAAATACATATTAGTCCTTTTTTTTTTTTCCAACTGTGAATATTTTAGAATGTGGCACGTGGTCATCATTACATGGTAGAACCGTGTGTAAGAGCTTGATCAGACATTTTGATCACAGATTACTGATTTTATGGGTTTCTAGTGATCCACATTGTATGTTCTTGGAAGGTTGGGTTTTTTCCATGCCATATTAATGTGACCTCTTTAAAGAAAAACAAAGAAAAAGAAAAGGTCATTTAAATTCATTCACAGTTGTGAATCAGGTTCTGTTTTCAGGACATGATCCACCAGGAGAAGATAGAAACCTGAAAAGCCTCTGTAGAAATTAAGGAATTGAGACACAAAATTAGAGGGACTAAAATGGTCAGGATGACTTTAATCTTTCCAGATTCTCTGGGCAGCTCTGTCGAGTATCTTCAGTGCTATGTTTTCCATACAAAGTTAATTTCCCTGTAAGCTTTTTGAAGTTCTTTTTTCTAGGTTTCTGTCTTGTATTCTAAAATACTTCCATTCATGACTATGGCTTTCTTACACCATACCGTATACCTGCATTTAACTCTATGTTCTCCTATTCTTTGCTTAGTTGTATCTCAGAGATACAGAGATGTCATGAGCTTGTTATGTGTCTTAGACAGTATGTGTATAACCTGGTAAACCTATGAAAATGTAATCTTGCACACATAATCTCAGACTACAAAAAAAAGTGTTACTTTCTAAAAGCGTAGTTTTGAGATGTACACACTACTTGATCAAATACCTGCAGTTCCTTTTTATTAAAAATTTTAAGTAATGTAACTTGTCCTTTCAAAACCTGAAAGGTTTTCTGTAAGAACCAAGAACTCTGTCACAGCTTTTGCAGTAAACTTGTATGACGTCCTTGCTATCCCTCTTCCACAAGTTCATCAGGAAATAATGTTTATCAGGATTTCAGCTCCTTTCTTAAGGAAGTAGAACATACTTTATGTGCTGCCTGCTTGCCTGCCAGTGTTACTGTCTTCATTGACTCCTGAATTTCTTGATCATTTTCAACTGCATTTAAGAAAATCTCAGAGTAATGGAAATTACAATCTGAGTAGAGGAAGGAAAAATGTTGAATGTTTACAAGAACAAAAAACTAGAGTGAACTTGGCCCTTATTCCTTCTGATTGTTGATCAATCAAGTTAACTGTATACTTTTTTTAACTTGCTGGTGATCTGACAGTGAGCCGGACAAGTTTATGGATAGAGCTAAGAATATTGTTGGGACAATTCGGTGGCTGTTGAGGTGGGATAGCTGTGAAGAGGCAAGACCTGGAGTGAATACAGGAAACATGCCGATAAACAACCAGGTGCTCTTAGTTCTGTTACTCACACAACAGGATCATGAAGTACAAGGGAGGTTGCGATTCCCTGCTGGTTTCCACTGCCTTTTGGTATTGTATCAGAGAAGAAATTAAATCACTCGTTAGACTCTTTAATGAAAAAATACTGTTTTTCAAGAAATAGCATATTGTTGTGGAACACTGTTTTGGGAACTTTTAACTCCTTGTCCATTGTCCTGCCAAATATATGTGTACATCTGAACTATCAGTTAAATCAGTTGTTATTTTGTGCATTGCGGTCTAACGATCACACATTGTGTTAATGTACAAAATAAGAATATGGATTTGAATAGTTACGAGGTGGTGCAGTACATAAACGGAGGAAGTCTGAATCCTAAATGTGAGCTTTGAATTACAATAAACGATTGCAATTAGTCATAATCACACATCATCTTTATTACTGCCTTTTTTTGCATTCTGACTGTAATCTTGAAAATCACAAGCAGAAAATACCAGATTATATCATACAAATGTGTCATTTAGCCTGTTCTTATCCTAATAATATCAGGAGGTCTACAGTGATCTGAGAGAAACTAGAGGAACATCAGAGCTACCTTTTACTCCAAAACCTTGGAGACCGTTCTGCTGGGTTTGAAGTAGTATGTATGTACGTACATGTTCCATGGAGTAAATACAGCTGCCTTGTGTTGTAAATCAACTATGTGAAAAATGGAAGTTTAAATAGATGTAGGCATGTAGATTTAAAACTTTCTAAGTAGCTATAGTCATGACTCCTATTAAAACATCTTAAAATAAAAAATTTTAGGTCATACAAAGTCTATCTGGTGCCATCTGCTGATACTAATTAAGAAATATTTGCTAGTGATACTAAGCTCAGAGACCTAATGCTTTTCTTACCCCAAAATACATTAAATTTCATTTAAAAATTTTATATGACTAATTACAAATTTCCCACGTGTAGTGAAACTTTACCACTCTGAACTTAAAGTTACAGGTCTCTACATGTTTTCATTGCATACTTGTGTAATAACACAGACTTACAGCCATTGAATGTAAGTAATTAGGTTTTATATAATACATTTCAAGTGTGTGTACCCTATTCTGACCACTCAGGAGTTTTATATTACTAAAACTTTTATATAAGTTGCATTTACCCGTAAAAAGTCAAAAAGTCTTTTTTTTTTTTTTTTAATCTATAGCGTGTAAAAAGAAAATAGTATATGAAACTATATAACTCTCTTCTTTCATTTGAATATCTAACATCTTTCTCATTTCTGTTCTGTATCATTTGGAGAGCTTTGGGAAATTATTTCTAACTTCAAAATACTCTAAGTAACTTGTAATATGAAGAAGTAATAATGCATCCACAGCTTCCTTCTCCATTAGGAAGCAAAGCAGCATTAATAGGAATGGATAGAGAGCAGCTTTCCAGTACCTCTGAGGAGGTTGCTGAGAAGACAGGATCAAACTCTTTACAGTGGTACATAGCAGGACAATGGAAGATTACAGACAAATTGAAATGAGAGGATCTTTACATTTAAGGAAGACTGAGAACAGGCAAGCAGTGGAACAGGCTACCTAGAGAGGTTGTACAATCTCCATCCATGGAAGTATTCAAGACCCAACTGGCTAAAATCCAGAGCAACCTGATTTGATCTCATGGTTGACTGTGTTTTGAGCAGGCAGTTTTACTAGAGGCCTCCCAAGGTTCTTCCAACAGGAATTACGATTTAATGACTTACACGATAGAACAGTCGATACTGAAGATGCGATAGCAACACTATTTGCATTTATGGCAGTTGGCTAGACCACATTTAGTCTAAGCTTCTTTAGATTGAATGTGCGTTAGCAGCAAGAGCACTTCAGCTGCACCCCTGGAGCCTATCTTCCAGATTATATGCTCAGGAATACTTCCCCTCCCCCAGTATTACCTTTTTTGAGTAAACTGGCAGTAACTGTAGCAGTTGATTATATGAGAAATTTTGCTGCATTTTTTCTTCCATAGGGAGTATTTAGAAATTATTAGGAAAAAAAAAATAAAGCTAATACTAACTAAAATATTATAAGAGCAAGAAATAAATGTTTTGTTATTCCAGCTAGGTCAAAAGATGACTTTCTGCTAATGTAAAAACAAGCTACTTCTTCAAGTGTCTAAAAGCAATTCATGCTTGGATGTTACCAGTGTGAAGAGTCTAAAATGGAATAGAAAGGCAATAGAAACTTGGCAGTTCTGAAGGAGTTTTGTCTTGCAGTTTTACAATAATTGATGCTGGGGATGGTGATTAATAAGCAGAAATTTATTCCAAGCTGATATGTTTTCCAGCTAATGGTTTGCATCCCCTGTGCTCTATGATCTTTTGCTTTTTAAAGGCACAGATCATACCAGGGTGTAAAATAACCATCTTTCCCACTTGCAACGATGATCACCTGTTTTCTAAGGAGTTTTCTTGGGTGCATTCAACAAACCAATTTCTCTGTATAAGCAGCGTTGTTCCTGACCAGGTATCTGGTAGACTATTCAGTGTTGATGATGTTTCATGTCTTTAATTTTGTATGAGTTTCTTGGTTACTGGCTGTCAGATTTTACTTTGCTTGCCTTTGGGTTTGTTTTGGTTTGTTTTTTTTAAGCTAAGCTATTGATCAGTAGTTTTCTTTGTCCAGAACTGTGATGCCCCTGTCATGCAGACACTTTACTGTTGTTCCTAGGTAATTCAGTTTTTCAATTCCATCTCTTGACTTTCCTTGTTCTTTTGTTATTTTTGCATATACGTTAGCATTTTTATGCCTCTTGCGTTACTGCTTCAATGTCTTTTGTTGAATTTTTTCTTTCTTTGTAAGTGTGTCTCCAGGATGACAGAATTCCAGTTGAATATTTATTGGATTCGTTATTTAGGAATCGGGAAATACCAATAAACAAAGAATACCTTTGCCTGGGTGTTACATGATGGGGAGAGGTCTTTTTCTTTGCAGGTATCTTCCATCATTTAGAATTTCACCTCATAACTCTCCTCTAAAAATGCTTACCACTTTCAGAAATTTTGCTAGAGATCTGGTTGAAAGATTGTCAGAAGATAGAGTTTCAACCATGAGCAAACTTGGTTTGTCATGCCTTGCATAAAGGTCTCTTGAAGACAACACATCTAGTATATATTCAGTCTTTGAAAATGTTGGAGCTTCGCCTTATTGCATAAGGCATTACTGAAGGGCCAACCAAAAGGTATTGACACAAGCATCTGAACAGTCAGCTGTATGCTTTAGACAGCGGATCACATAGGTGCATATTTGTAATTCCTTGCAATACTCTTGGTGTAAAATATATTCTCAGAATGGAATAGATTTTCAATAAACCTGAAAGAAACAAAAAAAAAAATCTTCTACGCATTCATCCTAAACTTGAGCAGCATTCTTTGATCTGTCTCAGTGGTCACTCTCTTGCTAGTAGATGGGTGAAACTTCATTGACATAAAATCCTTGAGCGAGTATGCTGTGTGATCCTCTAAACTATCTCTTGGGAAATTTACACTTTACGTGCAAACATCTACCTGATCCAATCCTTTTAGTTTCTCCACTTCCATGAAAGTAAAACTCAATTTATCGTCTGTCTGTCTTGTGTTAGTCTGAAACAGGTATCCCAGTAACTGCCATCATGTCTTTTGGTGTTTCTTTCAGGCAATCAAGGCTGAGCTAAAATCTACTTCTGTATCACATTCACACTTCCTTTAAGTCCCTGTCCCTTCTTGATGAAATCTGTTTCACTCATTACCTATGAACTCAAGGATGGGCACTGATTAAAACATTGGAAAGGATATTTTTGGTTTTTGTGTGTGTGTATAGAGTTGAAGGAAAAAAGGAAGAGTGGGATAGTGAAATGAGTACTACTACTGCCACTTTAAGGAAGAATGTAAATCTTTTTGAGTATGGGCAATTGTGCTTGTCTTGTGAAATGAAGTATTGCAGTCATCAGTGCAGTATTGCACTGATGAGTAATAAAGCCTACTTTAAGTGAGTTTCCTGATTACATTGTTATTTATGCTAAGTTCTGTATCTTTCTGGTACTTCTATTTATATTAGGTTCTTTTTACAGTGATTTACAAATGTAGATTCAATTATGTTTGTTAATAAAAGGTTTAACTTTTTTTCTAACTGACAGACAATATTAAAGTCATGGGTATCTCATGTTTGATCCTTTTATTATTTTTTTGTTTTCAAAGTGAAACACTTCTTTCCACGGGACTGTTACACACACAAACAAAAAATAGGGTGTACACAGTTTAGAATAGGAAATAAAGCTTTTCTCCTAAACGTTTTCATTGGTAGGATTTTGAAAATGTCCTGTTCTGAAAATCCTGTAAGACTTTACAATAAAAATTTACAACTTCATTGTAAAATTAAATTGCTTGTATTACTACAATTTGTATGGGACACTTCAAGTAGTATCATATCAGTTTAGACATTGCAATCCTGAATCTACAGTGGGGGTTATAATCTAGTATGTAAGTGAAACAGATTTTCTTTCTCTTTTTTAAGATCAGCCCCTCAAAAGTCCAACTGTTCAATGTTATGAAAAGGACTAATCTATAGAACTGCACTTTAAAATAAGTTATTTTTATTATAATTGTTCTTTGAAAGTAATGTCTTTATTAATTCATAGCTTTATTTAACTTCCATTGTTTTTATTCAAAATTCTTTATTTTCAAAACTGAAAATGAAAAGTCTGCAAATGAAAATTCAGTTTATTTACCAACAATAAATACAGATCCTAACTACCATACCTGCATTACTTATCTACCAACATAGTTTGACTTGCATGCTATGACAGAGGAATAAGGTAAAAGTTGCTGATGTGTGCTAAACATGTTCTTGCAAGTGATCTCCAGTTAGGAAAGCTCATAAGGAAAACTTACTAGACCTATGAATTAATGTGCTCATTACACATGTACTTACTACACATTGATTGTGCTTACAGCAAGTATTTATCTAAAGAAAAATAATTAAGTTTGAGTTTTTTAATAAATCTGTTGCCTGTGTTGTTGTTGTTTTTTATTCCTAGATCTTCCTCAGAACTGTGATCCTAACATTCCCCTAGTTGCTCAGGAATTAATGAAAAAAATGATCCGTCAGTTTGCAATTGAGTACATTTCAAAAAGTAGCAAAATTCAAGAGAACAGAAATGGTTCATCGTTTGAACCAAGTCTGATATGTAAAAGTATCCAAATGAACCAAACGGATAACTCCCTTCAGGAAGAACAGGATAGCCCTCTAGACCTCACTGTGAATCGAACTCAAGAACAGAATACTCAGCAAGGTAAATTTCTGTATCTGCTTATCTGTGTTTTGCTGTCATTCATTACCTTATGATGTCTTATTCCTTTAAAAAAGAAAAAAAAAAAAGTGTCTGTGTCAAATATCTGCAAGTTTTGTCTTTCCAAAGTAGTAATCAGTATATAGGTATATAGGGTAAAAAAAAAATTATCCTATGTGATTAAAATAAGGTTGACGGAAAGTTGGCATTGCATCGACTTAACACTTAAAGAAAACTCATACCTTTTTCCTTCAAACACCAGGAAAAATGTTATAAGAGAACTGGGGAAGAAAAAAAAAAGCCAAGAAAACCCCCACGTTCTTTCTAAAAACATCTTTTCATATTGTGTGTTAGCAGATAAAAATTGCAATTTTTTGAATGCCTGCATTAAATAAGTAGCATCAGAATTTCTCAGCTTTAGAACACTGTATCTAAGACAGCTCATCTGTGGCTGTCACAGGTAACAGTGGGTCAGGATTTTGTTGAAGAAATGGCTGTTAAGAAGCCCTCTGAGTAAAGAGAGAAAGATAATAGAATTTCAGAGAGGAAAGGTATTCTGCCTGTGTCAGCCCTTGGACATTTCAATTCTTTGACACTTCAATTCTGGTTAGAATGATGGAAAGAGAAGATAAATTTAGGAGGAGATTTCCATACTACATGTCTTAGTCATTATAGATCAGTGCAACTTTCTTAATCGAGAGTAAAGCTAGAAAAAGAAAAATGAAGTCTGTCTTGCTATCACTTACAAAAAGGAAATAATTTCTTTGCCTTGAGGAATATTGCTATCCGAAACTGGTAACAGTATAATCACAAGAGTGTTTTGGACTTTGAACTTGATTTGGATTAGTAGCAATTTTTAGGAAGGGTTGTGACTGTTACATGCAACTGAAAGCAGTGGCAAAAGCAACTTTTGTCTTTTTTAAGGGTACATGTTTAAACCAAAAAACCTGCAGACCAAATGGAGAAGTTTACCTATATGTCACATACCATACTAAAAAAGTTAAAAGAAGGTAGAACTACAGAATTAAGTTTTTTTTTTTAAAAAAAGTACATTGGTCAGAATGAAAGCACATTTCGTACATGTGTACTTAACGATGCAGCCTTTATTTAGATGACACAACTTTGGGTGGATGGGGGAAGGGAATTCTAACATGGATTTACCTTGCTAAACATACCTGTTCTAGATTAAGCATCCCTTCTCTTTGACAGCAGAAACATTAAGAAATGGGGGAATTCATGCTTTTGTTCTGTGTGGTCAGCAGAAACCAGTTCATGCCTGGGTTTACTGAATACATTGTACAGATCGAGTCCTGAGAAAATACCTATTGTGCTTTGACATACCTCTGCCATGGATGAATTACAGATTTTTAGAGACTTAAAATGGGCAAGGTTGAAGCATGTTTCTTTTGCAAGGGCAATAAAAAGTACTTTCGTATTGTCAGCACAATAGCATGTTGCTTACTTCAACAGCTGTTTAGAAAGAATAACTAATTTAAAATGTCCATGAGGGAGCAAAGTCCCCAAAGACAGGTTCTGGTCCTCAATAAGCCAAAATAAATCTTTGAGGAATTAAATGAAAGGCAGAGGGTGAATGGGACAGGGATGGGAAGTTCTGCTACCACCCTCAGCTACTTGAAAATCCATTGATCTTTTGTCCAAAAAAATCTTCCAAGTGTAGAGAGGTTGAGGTACTTCAATCTTTTTTTATATCATTTGAATCGTTCTTATAATGAGGGTAAACAGTAAGTTCAGAATTGTGCGTCTTCAGCAAAACATGAGGCTAAAATTGTTGCTCAGCATACATAGTTTAGTATGTAAAACTTGTATACTGTGTAAGATACTGTAAATTCTCAGAACTTATACAGCCATGTTTGCTGGAGTGCTTTGCAGATGTTAAACATACTAGTCTTGCTGTGAAGTTTAGAGCTGCTGAAATGAGACGAAGTATTGAAACAAGACTGTAGCTGGAGAACAGTTTCAAGCCATCTTATCTGCCCCGGAAGTTGTATTGTGCTTCCCATCTCCCACTTCCTCAGTCTGGAGACTTGTAAAAGCTATACTATGGTTCCCTTCTTAGTAGTTTCTTTTCATTGTTGTGCAGCTCTTTTTATCATTTGCTATTTGTAATTCCTGTTACAATTTCCAAGTGAAGTAACAGACTAGGAAGTTCAAATTTTTACATTGCTTTGATGGGTCCTCAAAGATGAAATCTTTTAAATGCATGAAACAGATAATGACCTCAGTATAAATACTTCAGGTTCATTCTCTGTTTAGGCAGGTACTTTGTATTTACAGTAGTTGTCTTTAAAATGAATTCTCTAAAGAAGTCCAAGAATCATTGCCACAGTAAAGGAACAAGACCTGTCTGTTTTCTAAGCTGACAGGAAGGAGTAATCTTTATTTTCCAGATAACTAGAAGCATTTTTTTTTGCACTGAGCATGTCCAAGCTAAGTGCTAGCTCAATATTGAAATAAAATTCTGCCACTGAAGATGTATGGATGATTTTATCTTCGTTTAAGAAAGCTTCTTACTTTCCCCCAGTACCCGTGGGCCATCTCTGAAGTACTCCCAAAATATTCAGGTCTGACACTTCCAGACCTCATACCCCTGTGTATTGGGCTTACATGGCAGTTCTGGTAGTTAGGAAGAGCTGCAGAGGTGGCATCTGTGAGAAGAGATCAGGAGCTGCCCTGTGCTAGGCACAGCCAGCTCTGCAACAGCCCCACAACAGGCCAAAGCAGAGCACACTGGTGAGGTTTGTGGTGCCTCTAAAAACCTACTTCAGAGCGAAAATGCTGGACAGGCACAGTGAGAAACAGCAAGATGAACAACAACAAGGTCAGAGAAGGAGGAGGAGGCACTCCAGGCATCAGAGCAGGTATTTCCCTGCAGCTCATGTCAGAGGCGACTCGAGCAGATACTTGCTCTATGGCCCATGGAAGACCCCAGATTGGAGCAGTTGGATATTTTTCTGAAGGAACTGCATCCTGTTGAGAACTCACAGTGGAGCAGGGGAAAAGTGTGAGGAGGAAGGAGCTGTGGAGAGGAATTGTACTGACTGTAACCTCTATTCCATATCCCCCTGTGCCACCTGGGGATGGGGGAGAGAGGTAGATGAGTTGTGAGTGAAGTTGAGCCTGGGAAAAGGTGGGGTGGGGAGGTGCTTTGATTTTTGTCTTTTTGTCATTATCCAAATCTATTTTAATTTGCAGTACATTAATTTTCCCCAAGTCTGTTTTGCCTGTGATGGTAACTGGTAAGTGATCTCCCTGTATTTATCTTAATGACCTTTTTCATCTTATTTCTTACCCCCCCACCCCATTGGGAGGGAGTGAGAGGGGGGCTGGGTGGGGGACTAGCCACTGGCCAAGGTCAACCTGTTGCACCGCTGGTGCTGAATCATTCAGTACTGAGTATTTAAGTACTTTCATCCAGGATGTCCAGCTGGCACCTGACTGATAGCAGAGTCCCAAATTATGCTCTCTTTTCTTCTACGTGTGGAAGTATGGTAACTTAGCAAGGTGCTTTAACTCCTTTGCACCCTGCTGGTAATTAATCAGGCAGTTACTTCACTGTCAGTCAGTTAGAAGCAACTGGCTCAAGAAATACCTGTATCTTGTTCTTTTTTCCTAATCCGTGTAACTAAGACTGTCCAGGCCTTGAAAAGAATACTCTGTATAGTGAAAGAAAATTTGTTTTCCGTGCACTGCAACTAACATGTAGGGTGGTATTGAGTGTTTTTGCAATATTACATGTCCTCCAAATTAAACCAATGAAGAAGCAGCATCCTTACAGGGTAAAATATTGAGTGAGGAACTGTCTTGGAATATCCTGAAGCAACTTACTAGTTTCTTTTGCAGTCATGATGCTGAGCTCTTTGGGGAGTGTTCCCAGCAGCAGCTAACTTTGATGCAAGAGGCTTCTGTCCCTTGATAGATATGGGAGAGTTGATCACTGTCAAGCTGCTAAGCAAAGTGACTTGCAAGAGGCAGAAGTATAAACTGTACAAATAAATAATCTGTTAGTTTAGCTACACAAGCTTATTCTTGTTGCTGTATCTTCTAGGAAAAATGATAGCTTGTAAACATAGCAGAAAAATGCAAGAGAATTTGCATAGATTTCCTTGTTTCATTGTTCCATCATAGATTGGAAGACATCAGAAGGTAGCTGGCAATGTGTGACATTTTGCTGCATGAGCTTTTCACAGCTATCCTGTAGCTTTGTCATTGTTGTTGGCTATTATTGCAGAAATAGGAAAAATAAGGATAATTCCAGTCAAAAATTCTGTTTAAATGATTTAAAGTAGCATTTTATTATCCGGTTTAACAATGTGCATGTGATTTCACCAAAATTTGTAGCAAAATGAAACTTTCTGAAAAATGGACTAGAATTTGGAAACGGTTCTTAATTTTTGAAAAGTGGTTTTGTATCTCTGGAAAATCCACACTGAAGTTAGTATGGCAACTGGGATCACATGTTGTGTGGCCTTTTGATTGCTATGTTCAGGGCTATTGAAAGAATTCCAAACACTTAATGAAAATAACCTTTTATTTTCCTAATACACTGTTCTTACCATATGTATTGGGGGAAAATATTATGCTTTTTGAAGGTGCACATGCTATGTTCCTGAAGATAAATTGTATGAGCTGTAAATATTTTCAAGAAACAACTTGTTTAATACCTCTGCATGATAAGGTTACTCTAAAAAGGTGCATTTTTGAGGGGAGTAGGTGTTTATTTCTTCCTTGGCTGCCGTGGTGGCTAACAGCCAAGCTCCTTGTCAGGCGCTGACTTGCTTGCTCCCCCCTCAGTGGCACAGGGAGAAAACAGGAAGAACAGGAAAGAGAGCTCATGAGTTGAGATAAGGCCATGGTCATTGCTTACTGCTTGCCATCATGGGCAAAACAGACTTTACTTGGGGGAAAATAACTTAAATTATTCCCTATTAAAATAAATATTAAATTCAGGTAGTGGGAAACAAAAAAAACACATTACACCACCACCTTTCCTCCCCCCTTTCTCAGGCTTAGCTTCACTCCAGACTCACTTGTGACCACCACCACACCTGTGGTGCAAGGGGAATGGGTATGGGGTGTCCACAGTCTGTACCTAAAAGTTTCTCTCTGCCATCTTCCTCTGCCATTGGGCTTCTGTCTGCTGTTTTCTTATTCTTTTTGTTCCCTCTTTCTCTCTCTTCATGCAGCACCTTTTGCCCTTTCTTTATTGTGTTGTCCCAGAGGCTCTGGCGAGATGCAGCAACAACCATCTGTGTCTGGCACAGGGCAGGCCCTGACGTCGCCTCAAAGGTGCTGCTAAGACCTTGCCATGGACACTCAATATATAGCTATATACTTTACCACAGAAGATAAAGAGAGAGTTATTTACTAAATCTCACAATATTAGAACTAGGCAGGGCTTGCTGAAACTTCTTAGGAGGGAAAAAAAAGTAAGGGGCAGCTTTTGCATTGCTGTAACAGGAGGTTGTGGAGATGGACAGTGTCACTGAGCTCACAAAAGGCCTTAGACAACTTCCCAGCTAACAGAACCAAGGCCGGAAACTAAAGCTAGAGTAGGCCAGGATATATCTCCGAGATCACTAATCCAATGATAGCAGCTACTGGGAGAGCAGAAGAGGAATGAGCTGCAGGTAGTGGCCAGGCTGACGTACTCTCCCACTCTGCGTAGAGGTTTTCCTGTCTTGAGACTGAGGACTGGGTAGAGTAGATTGTCTGACTTAGTAAGGCAATTCATAATAGCTAGTGAGAGGTTTCCTGAAACAGAAAAAAAACAGAGAAGTTTGCTAGACTCAGTACTCCTACCAATTGTAGGAACTCAAGGGTGACCTATACAGCTTCTGTTACTTGCTCTTCCCCCTCTGTTACTCTAACATCACTAGTCTGGAGGATTTTCAAGTGATTGTGGTCCTGATTATTTTGAAGATGACCTTTGGTCATGGTTACATCATGGTATTGCTGTACCTGATGATCTGGTGCTGAGAAGCAAAAGCCAGAGGTTGAGCCATATCTGTGAAGATCAGAATCATTTAATTTGCATAGAAATAACCCAAGAGAATACCCTGAGCAGCAGACCTGAAAAACTTCCAATAATTTTTTCTATATTGTCCAGTGTTTCATAGTATTGTCTGTGAAGACTGTGTAGTTAGTAGTCATGGCTTCAGCTAAAGAGTGGAAGTAATTCCATGTCTTTTAATAAAAACTCCTTAAAGAGTGGTTTTTCTGTTCCTGATGTCATTCAGTTCTTGTCCAGAATTCTTACCTAAATACCTGTTTTGAGCAATTTGATAGAAATAATGGAAAGTTCTGGCTTGGTTTAAAAAAGCTATTCCTACCTTGCAAGGAACAGGTTTTCAAGGTTCTTTGTCCATCTGTAGGATGCCCATTTGCAAACTTTTTCATCTTGTACCTATTGAACCAAAGTGAATGTCTCTACTGCGTATATATACATACATTCATTTTACTAGGTAGCATTTCATTATGTCTTAAAGCTTTAGAGCAAATGCTTTCAATTTCCTATCAACTGTAGGTGCTTCTTCGTTATAATAATAGATAATACTACAAAGCAGGATGATCTACCAAAACCAGGAGCTACTATGTATTTTTAATGAATCTTTTTGACTTACCAGCTCTTTCTGCATCAATTTTTCAGGGTTTTGTGTTGTTTGGTTTGGGGGTTTTTGGTTTGTTTGTTTGTTTTTTTTTTTTTAAGTGAAATCACTGAACAAAAGCCTGGTGTGTGGTGGCTTTATCTGGTGTTTTGTATGTATATCAAATTTCTTGCATGATTCTCTTTTTACTGTTTACTGAGGATCATCTTCCTATAAAGCATTCGTCTTCGAGGAAGTGTCATATACTTAATGAATACATTTGCTGTGTTGGAGGAGCCAACTGTCTTGAATCTGAAATGACTCATCAGTTCTGCTTGCCTTTTAGAGGCCCAAAATGTATCTAATTTTTTGTTTCAGGAGCCTGCATTTTCAGCATTGTGTTCTTTTTTTGTCATTTTTCAACTTACTCATGGCCTTGTGTTGTCAAAGCCATTTCTGAATGATTGTAAATTAAAATTATTTTCATTAAGGTTTCATTATGGAATCTAGTGAGTTTTGGGGTTTTGTTTGTTGGTGTTTAGGGGTTTTTTTCCCTAAAAATGAAATTAGCTTCAATTTTTTTTGTATATTGAATAGAGAGATGATTAGTTCTTCATAACTTGATGAGTTGTGAACTGTGAAGTATTTTTTTGTTCAGTGATCTTTTCTAAACTTCTTTTATCATAGTGCCTATGAATATCAAAGAAGATGGAGAAACTGTTGTGAAAGGGAATGCACAAACACTTAAGAAAGGGAGATGTACTTTGTATGACTGACAGAACATAACAGACGAAATCTGTCTGTTGCACAGGACTTGGGGATATTGTAAGCTTAGGTATTTGGGATACTTTCTAGCTGGGTAAGCCAAATAGTCCCTGTAGACTATTTCTGTTATTTTTTCTAATTGGCTTTTCCTTCTGGAATACCACTGCATCAGAAAGGTTGATTAGCCTTCCTTTAACTTTCTTAGGGCTAAGGAAGACTTTGAAAGGAACATGTTCAGGACAAAAGGAGCATCTTTGACAAGTGGCATGTTTATAAATATTTTTTCCCCTTATGCTAACTTATGATGCTACTTTTTCTCTCTTTACCCTTTTTTAATTAATACAAAATAGTTGGGGAAAAACAGTAAAAAATTGTTAAAAATGGTCCAAAACAAATAGCTGGATTTGATTATTACACAAAACTATTTCTTTGCAGTATTGGTATAAAGGAGATTTTATCCTAACAATTTCTCTGACTTCTTATTCGAGTGTGGGTATTTGGACTATTCAGCCCATGCTTCACGTCTGCATCTGAGGCTGTGGGAAAAGATACACAGTTGATTTATGTTTTAGAAATAATACGCAGTAACATGAAAATGACAGTACTGTAAAAAGCGCTAGCATAAGGTTGCTTGTAGAATTGAATGTTGAACTACATGTCAAAACTCAAAATTGGATTCACAGAGCTCAGGCACACAAAACAGCCCCAGTTTGAAACAGAGAACCAAGGAAGAAAGGTATGAAATTAAATATATTTAGGGGTTTTATCTGTAGTTTAAGTGTGATTTTTTTTTTTTTTTAACAAAAACTTAAACTAGAAGGAGTATTTCAGGTGCTAATTTGTTTCTTTAATTTTCAATGTTCTTAAATATTGATTTTTAAAAAATATGGTTTTCTATTTCAATACTTCATAGACTCAATAGCCAACTATAAGTCTTGAATTTAACATTTGCCAGTGACTTAACAGAGTGGACTCTCACCCCAGTTTAGGTCTTTCTATTTCTGTAGTTTCATTATTGCATATCTGTGGGGGCAGCAGGGGGAATATGTATAAACAAACTGTTAGAACCTTTAATGACATAGGTCTTATGCTTAAACCTCTATATTGGGCTTAAGCTCTCTTCCTAGTTACTGGGGTGCTACTTTCTCATCCAGTAACCTGGTCTGGTCTCATAGCTGACCCTGCTCTGAGCAGGAGGTTGGTCTACAGACCTCCTGAGGTCTCTAGTAGCCTGTATTGTCCTATGTAAGCCTATGATTTAGTTAATTAGATTTTAACTGCATTATCAGGCTTCTTTGTTTATAGTGTGTAAATATTAATATATGAATAATAATATTATGAAGTGCATTGCTTTGGTTGCCTTGAAAGTAAACAGTGCGACATATATGCATACGTGACTTTTAGGAAAGCAGTCACATGTTTCTGTCTAAGACTTCATTTTTGGAGTTGTATTTTTTATTTCCTCTTAATTTTAAAAAGTTTTGTTACAAATCAAATACATAAAACCATTTGCTGACAGCTGACATTGTTAAAGGAATAAGATGTCAGAAATTTTACAAGATAAAGTAACTCCTTAAAAATTGTGCCATAGGTACAAACATTTGCTAACAAAATTTCTGAGATGATCCTTAAACGACTGTTATCATCACTACTTGTTCTTTGCAGGGGATGGAGTGCTAGATCTCTCTACAAAGAAAAATGCAAGGTTGGAAGAACCAAAATATGATCCATTGTGTTCTGAAAACTCAGTGTCTGGGTAAGCAACGTTTAGGACTCTCTTCAGCTTATGTAAAAGACAATCCAGGTTTCTCTTCTCTGAAGTCAGGTTTTATGTTCATAACATATTTGTATATACTGACACACACATGTGGTTCCTACTTTGCTTTCAGAATAATTTTTGTCACTCATAAGTGTGTGTCTATGTATATATCATATGTTTCATTTGTCTTTTTTTCCTTTTTTTCTGTTTAAAGAAAAGTTATCAGAACAATCACCAAACTTTAGTTCATGTTACTAAAAATGAACTGAAAATTGATTACATAACACACTAAAAGTTATAGGATAGTAGAAGAAGAACATGTAAATATATTCTTTCAGAATTCTTTTATTTAGGAAACTTCAATTTTGGACAAAAATGACCATGTTAATATTTAGATTTAAAATATTCTTCAACTAACATGAACAAGTTAAATGACTATTATCTATAATATTCCTTAATAAGAGAGAGAGAGCAAGCGCGCGTGAGAGAGAGAGCTCTTGATCATCATGCTTATACTTACATCATGGTTCTGACTATGGTGTGTGGTGGCAAATGGTTAAATTTTTTTATTCAGCAAGAAAAACGTTATTGCATCTGCTGAAAGCTACCACAAAACTAGTGAAACACATTGTTATGTTGGATTTTGTTACGATCTTGGCATCCTCCCATCCACTAGCCATAGCAGGACCCTTTTTGTCACCTGTACGTCTTACCAAGTAATGTATTACAAATAGGACTATGATAGCAGTATTTGTTGAATAATGTAAAATTGCATTTTATTAATCTGCTGATATGAAGAAGTTTTAAAACGAATATGACTTTGTAATTAGAGAGTTGTAAATAGTGGCTAGAAGTTTTTAAAACTGTGTTTTATTTTGCCAAAATTGACTTGATTGTTAACTACAGCACTTTATCTTATTGTTGTAGAAAGCCTAGTTTTGTGTAAGTCTGGGATGTTTGTGTGTAGTTATGTACTTATTGCTGCAAATTTTCTTATGAGGGGGTTGACTCTTTTATTACTTGTTTAGCGGTAACGTCACGTTTCTACTAACAAAAACTCCTTCAGGATTTGGGTATTTAATGGAACGTTAATTGTATAATTAAAATTATAACAGTGTTGCTCTGCAAGCATGTGAACAAGGGAATATAGCAAGCACATGAGAATATTATCAAATACTGAGCTAGGATATAAAGTTCTTGGAAGGGCTGCTATAGAAGCCACGGTATGATTTTTGATGCACTGTCCTACCAGAACTGTAACATTTTGCTAGGATAATCATTTAACTACCACATCTCAAAGGCTTAAAAGTATCAGAAGCAGTGATGTTACCGAAGCAAGGAGTATAATAAAGGAGTGGACCCTTCCCTTCCATAGCTGTGTGAGAGTCTCTCATACATCAGTTTACCATCGTTTCATTCCATCCATCCAGGAGACTACACAGACACAGAGAGGACTATGTGGAAAGAAGTGCTGAGTTTGCAGATGGTTTGCTCTCAAAAGCTTTGAAAGACATTCAGTCTGGAGCACTGGACATAAATAAAGCAGGCATACTTTATGGCATACCTCAAAAAACTTTACTTCTCCACTTAGAAGCCTTACCAGCAGGAAAGCCTGCACCTTTTAAAAACAAAACTCGAGATTTCAATGATAGTTATTCATTTAAAGACAGTAAAGAAACTTGTGCAGTCCTACAAAAGGTAGCCTTGTGGGCAAGAGCTCAAGCAGAGCGCACAGAAAAAAGTAAACTCAGTCTACTTGAAACCTCAGAATTAAAATTCCCAACAGCTTCCAGTTACCTCCACCAGTTAACTCTACAGAGAATGGTCACTCAATTTAAAGAAAAAAGTGAAAATCTACAATATGAAACTTCAAGTCCTACTGTACAATTAAAAATTCCTCAGCTAAGAATAAGTTCTGTGTCCAAACCACAGTCTGATACTGCTGGTCTTCTGGATGTTATGTACCACGTTTCTAAAACCTCCTCAGTCTTAGAAGGATCAGCTCTTCAAAAATTGAAAAATATACTCCCTAAACAGAACAAAATTGAATGTTCTGGACCTGTAACTCACTCAAGTGTTGACTCCTACTTTCTGCATGGGGACCTCTCTCCTTTGTGTCTTAATGCTAAGAATGGGACAGTAGATGGAACCTCAGAAAATACAGAAGATAGTTTGGATCGTAAAGATAATAAGCAACCAAGAAAAAAACGTGGCCGCTACCGGCAGTATGATCATGAAATAATGGAAGAAGCAATTGCCATGGTAATGAGTGGGAAAATGAGTGTTTCCAAAGCACAAGGAATTTATGGGGTACCTCACAGCACTTTAGAATATAAAGTAAAAGAAAGATCTGGAACATTGAAGACTCCGCCGAAGAAGAAACTCCGATTACCAGATACTGGCTTATTTAATATGACAGATTCAGGGACTGGCAGCTGCAAAAATAGTGGCAAGCCTGTGTAGAATAATTGTTAGCGAATTGTTTTGTGTGTGTGTATATATGTCTGTATACACACACTGTGTGAGAAATACATATGCTCACTCTGACAGAAGACAAGAAATTATACAGTTCAAAAACCACACACATGCCTTTTGAAAAATAGTTTTATTCAGGGTTTTCACTGTGGACAGAATTATAGAGTTGCTCACTTAATTCTGGTAGTGTGTATTTAATATAATCCTTGTATAAATAGGTGAAAAGATTCAGGTTTTATTTAGTAGTCAATAGCATAAAGATGTTTTGGGAAAACAAGTATTTGTCATGTGAAGCATAATTTTTAATTGGTGAAGAACCACTCCACCCATTCAATAATCCATCTTATTACGGAAATACATGACCAAGGCTTAGCAGACTTTTATACTTCACAGAATACTTGCAATAAATTGTAAGTAACTCAGATTATACAAATCAAGGGATTTTTTAAAAAAGCTAGTTCCTTACAAGGAAGTGGATTTGTGAAGTATTAGTAGGATATAGTACATTCTGTGAAAGAAAAAAAAAGTTCATCGTTACTTAAATATCCAATACAAGTAAGAAAAACATTTCATTACTAAAAATGTGTGTTTAGCAGGCATAAACTGCATTTTTTTATCATTTTAAGAAAATTTTGTTGTTGGTTTAGAAAGAAATTGGTGTTTACAAAGTGTACACTTATGAAACCTGAGAAATTACTGTAGTTATAGAATTATTAAATATGAAATAAGATGGAATACTAAGAGCATAAAATAATTTAAACTTTGACATAATTTTCCTTTTTAGTTTGACAAATAAGGTAACTTGTAAGGCTTAAAAAGAAAGTTGGAATGCAACTTAGAGCATGTTCATAATGTGCACAGAATGAGCTTGAGAATGGTTTGGGTTTGTTTCGTTTTTTTGTTTAAACGTGCTGGTTAGTTGATGTTATGACTACTTAAAAATTATTTAAGGATTGTGTCACACTCCTATTGAAAAACCTCACTGTAACTGTAATGTATTTGCTGCTGTGACATTTCAAAACATTTTCAGTTTATCAAGATGAATACCAAGTTACATTATCATTTTGCTAATAACCAAATTTGCAGTTCAGGGTCTTGATAGAAATACAAATATTAAACAGTGAAGCTGTTTTGAACTTTCAGTAATATAAATTCTTTATAAATTTGGTAGTTAGACGTTAGGCAGTTCACTTTAAATATGTAACTTTTAACAGAAGTTAAGGGAGACCAATTACCTTCATATTGCAGTTTTTACATGAATTTCAGAATATTCACATTGGACTCGATATCATACTTAATTTTTTTGGTAATAACACAAAGTATATATCTACATACTCAGAATGGGGGCTTGCTTCATACATTCGATACTAAGCATAAATGCCCTTCTCCTCTCAAAATGTCGGTTTTTTCTGTATGCATCTAATTTGGCATAGGAAGACCTTTCTCCAACTTTTACATTTGGTGCACATGCATACTTCCCCCCCCCCCCCCCCCACTTAAGTATGTATGTGTATAGATTAATTATATAAATGAAACGGCACATTAGATACATATGGGCCACATCAGGTAATTTGATTTATAGATAAATTTGCCAGCGTACTGCAACATTGATGGCAAAATCTTAACCCATATTTATTAACACTACTAAAAAATAACAACTTCCATTTTAAAACAGAATAATCATTTGAAACTGCACAACCAGTGTCTCAGTTCTTTGGTCTCTCAGATCTATACTGAATCTTCTTCAGTGATTAAGGTTTACTTGCATATTACAGAATGAATCCTTTTTTTAAGCAAAACTACCTGATAACAAGGAGGTCACGAAACAGCAGATGTCAGGGTCATCTTTCATTTTAAAAAACTAAGCCATATTTTGTGAGGGCCAGAAGGATTAATTTGTGAATATATCCCCACTGAAAAGTGAAGTTGAAAAAACCTTAAACATTTCAAGATTTGTCTTTATACAGTTTTACTTGCAAAAGTTTTGGGCTTCAATACATTGCCTAATATTTGTACCATGCTGATGTTTTCTACTGCTCAGACGATGTTATAAATTTGAGTCAGAAGTTTATATTGAAGGCAAGTTACAGTACTCTTTTTGTATCATTTAAAAGATGACCTGACCAAAAAAATTAACAGGATTCATAAAATCAGGGATCATTTTACTATTGACTTAACAGTACTCAGTAGTTTTGTATGTAATATTATACTTAATTTTCAACATTTTAGTACTTGTATTTATTTTTTGGTCAGAAATAGTATATTAAAATATTTTTTGATAGTTTATAGATGATACTCAACCTGTAAGTGTTTAAAGGAACAGACTTATTTGTTTCTAATTATTAGGCTAACCTTTGATTACACAACTAAGGAAAGGCAGGGAAATGTGTAGATTCTCCTTCCCCAACCCCTATGTATTCCATTAAATGTCATTTAAATTACACATTTTGAACTGTTTTATAAATTCAGTTACCAGTCACTACTTAGTAATTGACAATTTCTGAAAATTCCTGTTTCAGCAGAATTTTAAATGAAGGTGAAAGCAAGCCCTACATGCTTTCTACTTATTTGAATGTTTCTCAAGTATTTTATATTAAAAAACAGTGCCTCTGTTTTTAGAACTACTGCTCAGTAAAGCTGTTTAAACCATTTCTGGTAGCTAATGACAATTTTATATTAAATTGTATATTAACTTTAGTGAGACTGATTTTTTTAGTTGTTTACAGTACAAATACTTGTATTTGTTTTTTAATTGCAGTATTTCCATTGTCGCAGTAATTTAGTAAAACTCTGTGGCTGCCTTGATTTTTGACAGATTTTTGTTAACAACTGATTTTTAGGCGATTAGTTATATTTATGCATAAATCAATTGCACTATAATTCATGAATTATTTATTACAATATTTTCTAATGAATTCCATGTATTTGTCTTGTGTTGTAAATGTACTGTAATTCTGTTTCTTCTTTGTGTTGTTATATTCCTAAATCTGATTGTATGAATTTAATTGTTTAGTTAACGTGTTTCTACGTTGTAATTTGTAGTAAAGCACTTCAATGCTTTTGCACATAATTTTACAACACTGATGTGTGATTGATTTGCTCATTCAGTAAAAAAAAAAAGAAAGAAACAAAAACCTGTACACTGACTCATTTGACTTACTCCTGAGGCACAAGTTTATTAGCAGTGGCATAAGATCAAGAACTGTACAATTTAAGCATGTGACTAATTTACTGAGAATTTTATATATCAGAAATAGTAGCTTTAAGGAAGGATGATTTCTCAGAATTGATGCATTACTCATAAATGAGAAGTTCAGAAATCTAATTTTATAACAGTTAAATCCTTTAGTCTGCAGCCAAAAAATATCTGTTATATATTATGGATAATATATAGCTTTTTATTTGAGGGATTTATTTACTTAGTAGAGTCGGAAAACAAACATTTCTGTAAGACAAATTTATATTTCTATAATAGTTCTATGCTGTTCATATGAGTACTTGAAAGTATGTTCTGTTTCCAGTTTTGTTCCTGTTGCCAGTCTGCAGAGAAGCTGCTAGGTTGATTTGTCTTGTCTGTGTCTGAGATGACAGAGGATAGAACGTTGGGGAAGGAAATCTTTTGGGAGTTGTCTGCTAGAGCTCTTTCCTGATAGTTTTTCAGATTTGTGGGGGAGGCAAAGGTTTACTTTTTAATACATAAAATAATACACTGAAAGGCTAGTACTTAACCTTATCACATCTCTGCCTTTGTGCCCATTTTGGACTCCACTCAATCCCCACTCCCTGGTAGTAACTGCCCCTGCCCTCCAGCAGGGAAATAATGTCATTCCAGGCTTAACTTTTGTCTTCAGAGATACTGAAGCACAAAAGGTACTGGGGGAGCAGCGCGTACTGATCCTTTCACCTCTCAACCCCTCCATTTCCTACCCACTCTCTCTAGCTATCTTTTTGTGTGTGACTTGTAGGAAGTGTAAGACTGTTCTGGGAAGGAAGTATGCAACTGTGAAAGTGGTAGCTCTTCCTTCTAGGAAATTATTGTTTAAGCCTTTTATCTTGGCTGACCGAGTAAGGGGTCAATGTGTTTTCACAAATTTGGCAGAATTTGGAGTGTGGTACTATAGAATAGATGAAGTTAAGTTGTCTCTCAGCTTTAGAAACTAACACACGCTAAGGGAAAGCAGATTATAGACTTTACGCATGGGTAGATAACCAGGAAAGAAACCATACTAGAGGAATGTCCAGTATGTCTGTGATAACCAGGATATTACTTTATACAGCAGGTTGAGCTCCACAGTAGCAGATTCAAAGCAGTTTTCAGGCCTTTGGAAATTTTGATTACTGACTTTGAGAAGGCTTTAGGGCTCTGGAAGTTTCTTCCACCAGTGAGCATATTTTAAATAGCAGTTAATGGATACAGGTTCTCTACAATTAAAGCTCTCCAGTGAAACTGCGTTAGACATACCTTGCAAGTCTAGACAGACAGAAAGATACATATCTAGAGATTCAGTCTAAAAAGACTGTATTATAGCCATAATTTTAGCAAATTAGTACTTAATAAATTTACTGTAATTTACAAACAAAATGCTGAAGACCTAGTGCCATTTTTTTTTTTCTATCTAGCCTTTCAAAACATTATTTAAGTCACAGTGGTGGGGAGGGCAATTAGTTTTTATCCGTAGTTGTCTTACTAGGATAACCTTTGTTTTCACAAGTGTAGTGATACATTTCAACACCTCGTGACTCCCGAGTTTGTTGGACTGAGTAACCCTTAGACTCTTCTCAGTGTAGTGGTGTTTCAAAACCAGTTAAATCCTGGCAATGACATGCCCTTGAATAATACTGTGTTTACTTTAGATTGCAAGTGCAAAGAGGGCTTTTTTCTTTTTAAGACTTCATTATTTCAGTTCAAACATAATGGCAATTTCAACTAGTACCATGACAATTATTTTAAGCTTTTATGAGTTAGTATCATCTAGATGCTTGATTTTGAATATAAACCATTTCATACTAAATATTACAGGAGAAGGAAAAACATGACGAATTATTAAGCATAGTTGGCTGTTTTTAAGCTCTAAACTTTAAAATCTGTGTGGGACAATAAAAATACAAATTTGTATGTATAACTTCCAAAAAGAAACCTGAAGTTAAAAGTTGTTATTGATGCTAATAACATTGGGTCTGAGCTAATTAAAGAATAGGTAACTTTATATAACTATAGCACATTAATTTGTAAATATGTTTGTTCCTTGATCAATACAGTTGTAAACCAAATCAAAATGAAATTTTTCCAAAGGACAAGCTTAAATGCAAAAAAATTACAGGAGATAACAGTAGCGCAAAAAGTTAGTGTCATGTTCAGAGTTTGGTGATATGTTTAAACAATACATACTTTTCTAAAACAGAATTCTTCTAACATTTTCTGCTCGTGCGATTGGTTTCAGTAAAACATTTGAATTAGGTATTAACTATCTGCTGATAGTTGCTATCCAGCATAAGGATTTTGTATTTAATTGAAGAAATAACTCTATTAATTTCTACCATGGAAATTTTTCAGCTTTTCAATATAAATGATTGATTAGGTAAGTAGTGACATTAGTTTTAATAATTTATAAGAAAGTAATTAAATAGTTAAGGGAGCATTTTATAAGTGACTTTATTTTGAGTTAATATCTTTGAGAACAACTGCTCGGAAGTCTTACGTAGATATAGGCCTACCTTGTATTTTGAGATTTAAAGGGTATTAACCTTTGTCACAGAAATTATTTATTCTAGTGGTGATTATCTCTGTTCAATGAAGAAATCTCTGTGTGTGCGTGTGTGTATGTATGTGTAATATATTGCAATGAAGAGCCTGTGATGCACCACTGAAATTTATGCAAAAACTAGAAGGGAAACTTTTCTCTGCAAAGAACAGTAACAGTAGCAAGTGGCTATTTTTCCCATTTTCTGTTAGCCTATTAGGTGTTCTTTAAAAAGAAATAGATAAATAAAAATGTCTGTAAAAGGATCTTTAAGAGCATTCAATACATTTTTGTATATGGCTACCTTAGGGTGGGATTCAGGAGAGATGGATCCATACTTGCCTCTGCCACAACCTTGAGTTGTGACCTTAGGCAAGGCACTTACCCTTTGTGCCTCCGTTTGTGAAATGGGAGTAATACTAAGCTCCTCAGATTCATGGTGAGGATCAGAAAGTTAATGTTATTTTAATTGCTTTTAGATAGCAGAAGCTATTTTTTCAAGCTATTCTTTTTGTCCTGTAATTTCTTCCTGATTATTTTTCTTATAGTGGGACTATCACTGCTGTAGATAAGATGCTACTGACACTTGCAAGTATGATTGAATAGTGCAAATAGTACAGAACTGTTTTGCAAACTTCAGGTTTTTAGGCTTGAGTTTAACCATTATAACAAACATTAGATATGGTGTTTTACTGTAATTTATATTTTGTTTTGATTTGTTTTCATTTTCAGTTCAAGCTCAACAGCTGATGCAAATTCAGAGGAAACAGCTAATTTGGAAAAAGGAAAATCAACATTAAACAAAGTTTTGGAGTCTTTTTGTTCATATCACTGGCAACAGACTTTGGCTATGTTAAAATTTTTAATACAAGATGAAAATGTTCCTATAGTTTGCAGTTGCAAGCAAACACATTTGGTCCACACTGAAACTCCCAGTTCCCTTACCGAAGAGGATGTTCACATTTCATTTTGCAATTGCAATGGACATATGCTGACAAAAAGGTGCTGTTTACAAAATCAAAGGCCAAACACTTGTTTACCACCTCTGTCTCTTTGTATTAAAGATTTCCATTCTTTGTCATGCCAAGCCGTAGCAATTGGATGTATTAAGACAATGGTGAACAAAGCATGTAGTTCTCATAAGTATTGTGCTGAACAATCGCAAAATTTTAACAGACATTCTGTGAAAGCAGCAGCATGTGCATATTCAACTAAGGATTGCGATCTCTTGAACAGCATTAAAAATTCAAATAGATCTCGCAGCCCATCACCACCTCCACTATCACCTGTACAGAGTAAAGAATTTGAATCATCGGAAGGATCAGTTATAGATTTTCCAACTTTAGACAATAATAAGCTTGAAATATCCATCAACCAGCCTCCATCCCTCTTGCCAGCTGAAGGAAGCAAAGGAGAATTTGAATATGAAGGTAAAACACGCAGAAGAAGAGAGGCAGAATGTTCAGATGAAATACTGCTATCAACAGACCAAGAAAACAACAACTATTATATAAATTCTGAGAAGGCTGAACATTCTGCCATTTTTCAAGATTTAATGGACCGTATTAATGAGAAGTTAAAATCAATAGACACTACAGATATAGCAACAAATCTGGTAAAACTTAATAGCAGTGACAGGGCACCAGAAAATGATGTCAAATTAGGAGACTTCATAACCTCTCTTTTGCATAATGCTAAAGCAAGTGATTACAGCTTTATGGAATTACTTCGACAACATGATAAACAAATGGAAAATAAAATTATCCAAACAAGATTCCGCAAGCGTCAGGAAACTTTATTTGCAATGTATAATTCTCCTGATTCACCATTCATTCGACGACAGTCTTTGCAAATCAAGAGGGAGCTTGCAAGCCTTGATGAAACTCTTGTAAGAAAAAAGTCAATTTCTGAGAGAAATGCAAAGAAATCTATAAAAAATTTTGATAAAATATATCCAAACAAAAGACACGCTTTTACTGCGCTAGAAGATGAGGCTTTGCAAAACCTTGAAAGTAATCCGTGCACAAATTGCCAAACCAAGCCAATGTGCTTTCCAGTACACCAAACAGAGTCTTTCAAACTACCTCTTAGTAATTTTCAAACCAGCTCCAGCTTTCTAGTTCTTTCAGAGAAGAGTGCTATTACAACCAGCCAGGCAAAACTCCTAAAAACACACGGAGATTGTGCAACCTTAAAAGAGACTGATCAGATTCCTCTAAAGGATGAGAGTAATGGAATTTCAGGCAGAATTAAACGTAACATTGTGCCTCCTGGATGGTACTCTGTGTATGTAACGAACAATATTGTGTTTAGAAAGTCATCTGATGCAAAAAAGTCTTTAGAAAGTTTGGAAAAAATGAAAAGAAAGAATGATGTTCATGCTGAAAGGTGCAGTGACATAAATATAAGCAAAATTGTGAGAGATACAAATCTGCAAGTTGTTGTAGAGCGTTTAGAAGATACAATAAACTTAGCCAGAAAGACTAACAACTCACTGCTGGATACTTACAAAATAAGCCAAAAATTAAAAGATAATGCTTATGAACAGGTTATGAACCCAGCTGCTAGAAGAGGCTTATCGTTCACTCTGAGTGAAATGGGATGCACAGGACAGAGCTTCCTTTCACATTCACATGTGCCAAGCATCAGTAAAACCAAAACTCTGTGTGCAACAACAAACAAACAAGAAATGGTTATAGATCAAGAAATTAATGACAGCCTTTTGAAATCTCTGACCTTTGATTCATCCGGTTCAACTTCCAGTAATGAGGACTTGCATACGACTACAGAAGCTGGGGAGATCTCACCTCCCTTAAACTACTCTAGTCCTATTAAACTTATGTTTGTCTCAGAGGTTAATAGTAGTGAAGGAGTCAAATATACTTTGACATCTGCAGCTGCATCTTCTAAAAGAAGCACAGATATTTGTTTGTTTCAGGGGCACGCAAACACTTTGTTAGACAAACAGGCCATGGGAGATCCTTCTCATGCCATCTGTGTCAAGGATTGCAATTACAATGAAAATGATACCAAGGAGGAGTCAAGCTGTGTTTATGCAGAAGCAATTATGAGCTCTTGTCCAGTTGGTCAAACTAACTTAAGTGACTCAAACCAAAATGACGAAGTTGTGGAGAAATCAAGCAGTAGCAGTGAATCGGTTTTAAAAAGAAAACCTGGTAGACCAAAGAAAATAGGTCCTCAAGTTGTAAAACAGGTTAAGAGACCTATTGGACGGCCTCCAAAACCAAAAACTGACTCGACTGAAAGTACAGAGCGTAGACCTGAACTTAGCAGTGATGGTAAAACTACCAAATCTGATGCAGCAGTAATGGAAGAAGTTAACAGCAACAAAAATATTACTGTGACAGTTGTTTTTGGAAGGTCAAGAAGAACCAAGAGACACGTTTCTGAAGGTAATCTAAATGTAATCAGCATTCTGCCCACACAACACATTGATTCTAACTTTGCCAATGACCACAGCAAAGCGAGGCACAATGCAGAAACTGAAAATGCTTTGACTGAAATGGTAAAAGCCTTACAGAATTCTTCTACTGAAAATGAGGTCTCTGGTTATGACTATGTCAGACCTATCAAGAGTAACCTAGCATCACCACATCCTTGCAGCAATATTATACGTCCTATTAAGAAACCGTTAACCACCATTCGAAAACCTGGTAGGCCAGCAAAAGTGAAAATCTCCGGCATATCAGTGACTGTTAATAGAGTTTCACCTCAGGAAAGGAAAGTGAGTATTAGCAAGTGCTTGCCTCCTTTACAACAGCAGAATGTGTTAGAAAAAAACATACCACAGGAGAGAAAAAATCAACTGTGCAGTAACATGGGTCAAGTAAAGAGCATGCAGAAAGATTCTAGAGAGGGTGGCTCAAACAATGGTATTACAGCAGTGTCAAGAAAACATGAAATGCCATCGAGACATTCTGCTAGAGACAGAAAACCCTCAGTGCATTTTTTACATTCATTAGCATCTCCTAGTGCATTTACTTGTAGAAGTGCCTTACTACATAAATCTTACAAACTCCACTTGAAAAAAGCTAAAGATCGAAAGGAAAAACATAGGCAATCAAATCGGAGCACAGCATCCAAAGATACCTCAGAACTGAGAAATTCAGGAAATGCGAAAAAGGATCTTGAGGATGGTGAATTTGGGCCTATTAATGAAATATCATCAGATCCCATTTTTTCATCAAATCCCTCTCTCAGGTGGTGGGCTACTTCCACTTCGAGTGACACTTTGTTGGAAGAACTAAATAATAGATTTGAACAGGTAACTAATACCTGGTTGCGAGTGGGGGGAAATGAGTTTGATAAATGTGTATGTGAAAAAAGGGATCCCATTGAACAAGACTGTAGTACTGAAATGTCAAACCCTTTAGACTCCTGCCTTGTAGAACTTGAAACATCACCTATAAAAATGCTTTTTCAGAAAAAGTGTAATATGAATGAACTCTGCACCTGGTTTATGCAAACTACAGAAACACAGTCTCTCTCTCTAGTGAGAAAGGCAAATGCTCGCAATCCTTTAGAAGTAGTTAGTACTAGAGAGATAAAGATGGAAACTAAACAATCTGATCTTAGTACTTGCCCTTTCAGAAAGCACTTTAAAAAGTTTGCACTATCCTCTCCTTCAAAACCAGCAAGGAAATTACAAATATTACATAACATGGTGAGGTCTCCAGTCTTAAGCATGAAAAGTAATTTCACGTTAGCCAGATTAAAAAGAAATGAATTTAAGAAGTTACAGCATGATAGGTGGGGACAATCGAAAAAGCTGTATAATCAGGCTCCCGGAGGCTGGAGATCAAAAAAGAAAAATTTACAGGTTTTTTGCCAAAGTCAGTTGTTTAAATGTACAAGTGGGGAAACCGGTGATGAAATGCCCAAGCTCCAGGAAAAAAATACAGTAGAAATCCAGCCCACTCAGACTTCGGTAGAATCTCAGAGTAGCCTCTTGCCAACTGAAAATGAAGCCAGAGATGCATTTGTTCGACAGATGATGGGATCTTCTGACTTTAACCCACATCCTGGTTTAGCAACTGTACTTAAGTCACATGCAGAAACAAATGGAACAATTTGTTGCCAACAAAACGTTAGAAAAGAACAAAGCCAAGATAAACTGTTTCAAAATACTTGGAAATCCAAAACTTTTAAAGATTGTAGAATATTTCTGAGAAAAATCAACCATATTGAGCAGCACAATTCATTTAAGTTAAATAATGTCATTTATTCTCCTGAAGCTGTTGAAAGTAAAAACAATCAGGCCTATGTGGAAGAAAAGAGACATCCTCTTTTAAGGTCCCATTCTACTAAGCAAAATACATTAAAGAAACAAGAAAACGAAATGGAAACATCTAAAGGATCTAATTCTCCTAAAGTGACTGAAAGGCTGGATGACCAGTTTTACAGCAGAAAATTAAGTAATGGTGTAAACCATGATGATAATCCTGCTGGTAGTTCTGAAGTTCTGATCAGAATAAACAAAAGAAAAAGTCCACAATGGGAGACCACTGATACAAATGTAAGAAAAAGGCATAAGAGACAATCATGCAGTGGTGGACAAATGACAACTTATTACCCAAAGTACCAAGTAGGTAAGTTCCTGTTCCCCCCTTCATCTTAAAGTTGCAATCTTAAAGAATTGGAGAAGTCAAACAACTAAGCACTTTGGATTTCTTTTTTTTTTTTTTTTAATTGCATGGTATTCATTTTATTTCAGAGAAGTCATTAAATTAAACATTGTATAGCATCAGAATAACGCAAGAAATGCAATTTTAAAATGTGTATAGTATTTTATACAAATCTTTCAGCCACAAGAGGTGTGTTACATTCTGTTACGGCTATAATACACCAAGAGAAAAAGAGCTAACTAATACAGTTCAGACAGACAACAAAAATTCTGACATATCTGAAGTCAGTCACAACTGGCTGTTGATTTCAAAAGGAACAGAATTTCATTCCACTGTGTAGTTTCTCTTATTGTGAGGAAGGGTAAATTATAAAATAAAGCAGAAATTCAGTGTATTAACATAAAGTTATTTAAAAAAATTGTAATTGAATTATTTCTAATGGTTTTATGATTGTATAGTAAAAAATGGTACTATGTACTTCTGAGAAGTATTCATTCAGAGATCCATTTTAGTATCCATTGAATGCCAAATGGAATCTGACTCTAAAGGGTTTGCGCATTGAATCCTTACAGAACAATTTAAAATACAAAATTATTCTAGACAAGAACAATGTATAGTTACTGTGCTAAGTGTATTGGCTTGGAATCTTTTTAGCCTAGTGTGAAATTAAATCCATTTTTAAAGCTAGATATTCATAATACATTGTAGTACAACTGTGATCTCAGAAAGGCCATTGTATTACTTACAAAGAGGGTACACTTGTGAAATTATTTCTTCTGTAGGGTGAAGAGATCTCCTTAAACAGAAGTCTCAAATCATTTCAATAAAATAACTAAGATGTGAAATACCACGTAAAAAAAAAAAAAACCAAACACAGCAGTTCTGCAATAAGAATTAAATTGCTGTAGAAGTATTCATTTGTAGAAACAACACTGTATTAGTTAATCTGATTATATTGCCTAAAGAATAAAAAAATACTATTCAAAATACCAGAGCAGTATCATATGTCCCCCTTTGTATTCTATATTGTAGAAGATGATCCCTGATAGTAACCTGAACAGTTAATTTAAGTTGTAATATAAACACTATTATGGCTCTTGTATACTTCATTTCTCTTGTGCTTTATGTGATATATAAAATTCTTCATATTAAGCATGTTCAGTGTAACCCTGCTTTTTGAAAGTGCAGCTTTTTTGTCATTAGACTATTATTTTGTATTTTAAATCACTGATTTGGGGCCAAACTCAACATAAAACCTTGACATAAGATTGCTGTAAAAAAGCCAGAACTAGAAAAGGAAAGAGTAATATCTATCTGTCTCTTTTTTGCAAATTAAGAAAGAGCTCTCTCATCTTTTATTTCATAATTTTGACTGTAGCTGAGAAAAGTTTGCATTTGAATTATATTTATCTTTAAACTTTTTCTTGCTATGGCAATGTAAGACCTATTACTATGATATGGTCTCATGTTAGTTTTAATTTGGACTTGATTTTATTTAACTGATAACTTTCCTCCTTTAGTTATGGATCTCTAGGAAATCTGATAACTATTTTGATATTTTACATTATTTCATTTACAATTTTTGTTATTTTCCCTTTTACTCATAGTTTCTCATATCAATCGTTGTCTTTAGAAAGGATATGACAGAAAGTTAATTGATAAAAGAAATTTTAAAAGGCAAAGAATTACAATTCTGGATTTTGCTCCACAGTTGTAACCCCAAATCTTTTTTAGGGGTACTGTTGCAGTATCAGGGGATTGTCTGATACAGAAAAGGACATCTTCTTTCGGCTTGTTGATTCAACATTGTGTATTGTCTGTACTAACCAAGGAAATCATTGAAACATTTTTAGTCTAGAGTATAGCTACTGGCTAAAAAGAAGGAACATGATTTCTAGCTATGCATGCGTGTGTTTTTAAACATAATTCCTGCATCTGGAACTTTAATGCATATGAAAATATCATTATTCATTCATATGTTCTTTGGACTGTATTCTTGTTGATGTGGTATCATAAATTATATCATTGTTCTGTTGTCATGCTTGAAATGTTCTTATATACACTTTTATGGTCAATTTTTAAAGTTTTTCTTCAAGTTTTACTGATCTTGGTGTCTTACCGAATGTTCTTGAAAGAGAGAGGTGTTGCAATGCTGTTTTATTGTGAAGTATTGTGGCAGGTAGGCAGAACATTGTTACTGTATTTTCACGTATACTTAATTTTTGTTAGAAAGTGCAAGTGTGGGAGTAAAGCAATTGAGTTCTTACAGCTCAAGGTAGTACCAAGCAACCAGAACTAGTCATGTACTCATTGCAGCAACAGAAGAGAGTTTTTTCATATGACTTTTTCATACTGCCTGTTTTATTCAAGATAAAGTGGATACATTGGTCCATATGCTGTTGTTACTACTTGACTGCTGAACTTCTGTGTGCTTCAGCAATGCGTTTGATGTGTTGAGGAGCAGTTCCCTTTTACTAAATCTATGTTCTGACCATTTTAATTTCTTTAGCAACACTGAAGTGTTATTACTATCTGTGGTGGCAAAGAAAATGATGCAAGCATGTTTTTAGGAAAGCATTTATGTTTCTTTCCATGAGGGTTGTTCATTATGTTTCCTTATAACACTGAAGACCACATTCATGTGCTTTGGACTTGGCCAAACTAGATCCAAAAAAGGCTTCAGGAGAGCCAAGCTAAGATAAGAGAATCTATTATCCAACAATAAAATGGGACACAATAAAAGACTCCATTTTAGGAACTTGGGATTTACTGAATATTTTTAAAATCTATTTCAGAGGGTATGGATTTATCACAGATGCAAAGGAGCCTGTGGACCTACTACAGTAGCAGGCAGTACTACGTGCTGTGATGACGTGACATACCTGTCTACTTACCTTTTGTATCAGGGTGGGAGTTCACATAGAAAAGCTTTAAAAAATTAATTCCAATTCACTAGAAAGAGTTAGGCTATTTTCTTCACCTAAAATGAACTTTCTCATTTTCTCCCTTATAATTTGGCTTTTCTTAAAGTAATCTGGACTTTTAGAAAAAAATCTATTGTATTTGTTGGAAGAGAATATGTTCATTTTCAATTTTAATTTTTCATTATATTTGAATGCTGTTTTTAAATGCTATCTTAATGAGATCAAGAATGCAGTAATTAAAATGAGAATTTGCTAATCTTTGTAATAATTTCAAAGCTGACTACAAGAGTTAGGAGTCTTAACTATGAAAACTTCATATTTTTATGAGTCTAATTGGTCTCTTGATTGTGTATGTAAAATAACATCTATATTATTATGACAACAGACAAAACTTATTCTTAAGCTTGACTTCTGCTGCCATAAATGTTCTAAAAATGGGGGGGGTGGGGATTTTATGAACTTTTTTTACACACTTTGTATTATTATGGCATTAATATTCCAGTATAGTTGCTTATTTGTCTTATGGTAGTGCCATCCAGTAGCGGTAAGGCTACACAATGTGACTCACTTTTTACTGTGGAAGACGGTCTCACACCAGTGATCAGTTGACAAAAATGATTGTTTTCAGTCTCTTCAGCTTTCACTCTCATGAAGGAGCACATTCTACACTCCTTGTGTGGAACAAATTTAAATTATTAGGTAAAATGCGAAAGAGACATAGTGTAATTGTCGTTAAATCTGTTGATTTTGAGAAATCCTTTTCAAACAGCCATGTCCTAGCTCTTTTCACAAAGGCTTTTCATCAGAAGGTTATTTGGCGTCAGAATAAGTTTCACCTGTGATGCAGTGTTAAGCAGATAGAAATTTTCATAACTATAATTGCCAGACAAGAAGTTACTTTTCACAGCCAGCCATAAAACAAAGTAAGAAAATTAATAGAAAATGTAGGAACAATATTGAAATTAATGACTATTCTCAGTAAGTGAGACATTTTTAATGCAGAAGTATAAAAGCAGAAGGGAAGACTTGATATATAGTTGACTATACATGTATAATAAATCCTGACGCATTTAACGAACTTAGTGGTCTCTGCCTCATTCCCCTTAATGCAGCAACGGCAGCTCTAATACCACAGTCTAATATTCCATCTTGTTTTACGCTCCAGAATTCCACTTGCCAAATGCAGTTATATAGACTTTCCTTCCTTTGTTTTTTTCTCCCATCATGTGATCTAGTGCGAGGTGTATAAATTTTGGGTGCTGTTTTGTTTTAAACTGTGTTCATATACATATTGCCTTGGGATATGCTGTTGCTCATGTTCTTTTTGAGGGTTCCGAGCTAAGGATTTTTACTTTTGCTTATTTGAATAGTAGACCTCTTTCGAAGAACTCAACTCTGAAGTCTTTCATTTCCTTTACCTGCAAGGAAGTTTCTGTAGTTCAGGGTCATGATCATTAAGCCTTTGTATAGGATTTATATACCCAGTTTAATACGTAAGTGATTTGAGGTGGGGTTTTTTGTAATTTTATTCAGTATTGTTTTGTTATCTCTTCTTAATTCTATTTCCTCAAAAATTGGGAAACTCGTGCTTTCCTGTTTGTCCTCAGTCCTGAGGAAATGGTTGGATTTTTCAGCTTTCTTTAGGGAGCTGATAATACTATATAAGTATAGACAAGCTTCTGTCTTTCTGCTTAAGCCTTTCTCCAGAAGAGAAAATAGTAGTCTTCTCAGGCCTGCCTAGCCCTTTTGAAAATCTGACGAGTACATACTCTTTTAAAAATCCTCTCTTCTGTTAAGAGTTTGCTGCCTTAAAGCGGGGCTTCAACTGATCTTAGATAGAAAAGGATGGACACGGCTTGTGGTGATCTAACTTGTAAATAAAGTATTCATGTAGTCCAGCCATCACAAAGAAGGACAATTATACTGAAGCAATTCCACATTTTGATGTTGAGCTCTGTGAAAATATTCCTGTTCAAGAAAGATGCTTTAATTTAGAGAGAATTGTGTACTCTGTCTTTATTTGCATTGCTCTATCGTTTGTAAGCTAAAGCTAGTGGTGGCTTTTTTCTTTCACCAAATTTTTGTAAAGTGTCTTGTACTAGAATCTTCAGTTAGTTACATTCCAAAAGTTCCAGAATCGAGGGGAAGATTTACAATGGTGTGAGATGACTGGGCTGTTGTTTGCATGTATTCTTGGGTAGATTTTCCTTCCATAATTCCTCTTTCAACCAACCAAAAGATAGTTGCAGTCTGTCCTTTGATTTGACACCTTTAGGTTTTCAAGCCAAATATAATGCCACATTTACTCATTGTTTATCCTTTTGCTAGCAGTGTCCTTTTGTTTTGCTATAATTACAATGTCTTTAAGGCATAACTCTGTTTAAGCAAGATTTGAGACTAATATTTTAAAGTATTTCAGGAGGAAGTCTAAACACTTGTTTGTAGGGCTTTACAGAGTGGTTCTAAATCTTACGAACTTATCTGAAATTTTGTTTCAAATGTGGGTAGACATTTGGTAGCTGTTAGAAATTATATTTCATTTTTTGTCTTCCTTCTTCCTTGTATTAATTTGGTAAGTGGATATTAATTTAATACAAAAGATTTTTTGCCATATTTTAAGGACAGCATTTTCTTATCATAAGGCTTTTTCTCTCTGCTGTGTCCTATGGTCAACGTAAAAAAGACAGACTCTCCCTTTAAAATGGCCTTGAATTTTGTGTGTTCCCGAGCATCCTGAGTGTTTCTGAAAGCTGTTGACAGCCTTCAGGTTCTAATTAAGCCAAATATTTTTACAACTAATTAGATGGATATATCTGAGTGGAAATTGTTTTATATGGGAAGTCCAAGATTTTAAGAGCAGCAT